CAGGATTACGCGGGAGAGGAAGCAAGATTAGTAGAGCTGCCACATTTAGTTTGAGTACACTCAGGCAATGAGCTTTCATGAATATACCAGGTTCCAAGTTAGTGCTCGGCTTAAACCTAAATAAGCCAAGGTCACAGCTATTCAGGAACTTATAAGTCTAAATGGGTGAATTCATAATTATAGTATACCACAACACATCCTAAGTAGAAACAAGAATCTTATTTCTAGCCCTACCCACCCTACAACACATACCTATTTCTTCATTGTTTGAGAGAAATTGTCCCTCTTTCTTTGGTATAGCTATCACAGTTAGATGAGATACTTTAGGAAAATTGCTTGGGATGCTACCTGTCATGCAGTATATGCTAAATAAATAGTAATGTGCATTTATAGTATATAGCATAAAATGAGTGCTTGGTGATTTTTAGCTTACACCAATATTATTTATTAAAGTGATTTATATACAATATGGTTTTCTTCTTCATCTTTGTACAAATTCCTTTAGAAGTAGCCTCCTTTCAAGTTGTGACCCTGGACTTTAGAATGTACTCTAAAATGGCCAGAACTTTCTACTCCACTATGCAAGTCTAAATTATGGAGAATGTCAAAGTAGTATCTTATCCCAATCTCAAGGTCCAAATGTCCACACTTGAATTACTAGCATACATACATACACAAGGACGATCTTAGAAACAGTACACAATTGTATGTTGTTGGAACAAATAATGGTTTGGATTTTTTTTTGCTAGTCCTGGGGCTCGAACTCAAGGCCTGGGTACTGTCCCTGAGCGTCTTTTGCTCATGGCTAGCACTCTACCACTTGAGCCACAGAACCACTTCTGGCTTTTTCTGTTTATATGGTACTGAGGAATTGAACCCAGGGCTTCATGCATGCAAAGCAAGCACTCTACCACTAAGCCGCATTCCCAGCCCCCAAATAATGATTTCCTAACACAGGAAAACATCACGGATTTGCATAGTAAGGGGTAGCTGTATGGGTTGTACCTAAAACTAACCTGGGAAAATCCAGAAAAACAGTTATCCAATAAATCTCCTGTCTCTCACTCTCTCAACAATGTTTTGCTATATGCCACAAGCTGGTATAAAACTTACAGTATTCCTAATTCACATTCTTACATGTTGGGATTAACAGTTTTATGCCACCATTCACTCACTGCTGACACGTATATAAGAAAGGCCAGGAAACCCCAACTTACTCAGCTGGCTGTTTTTAACCAATTTATCATAACCCATCTTCCTTTGCTTTTGCTCTTTTGAAAGGGGCTGGCTCCTTTTGTGTCCTGAAATACTTGAATATTTTTAGTATAATTTTCCCTCTTTGATGGACAGATTTATTTTCTATCATCCATAGTGAAATCTCCAGGGATAGAACATAGGCAATTAGGTTAATGAGGTTTTTGTTTTTCTCCTTTGCAAAAGATGCTTTAGATCAGTGTTTTGACATTCAAAGCCAATAGAATGATGGTTATCAAATGCAAAAAAAAAACAATCCTTTATGTCTAAATTCCCTGAAACATACAGATTGATCTGTAGCTAGTTAATTTAGCAGCAGGTCACATGCCCATGTAGATATTTTCTACTTAACAATTTTTCATCATAACTGGCATGAAATTGATTGTCTTGGTAGCTAGAATATGAAGAGTTAAAAGCCAAATGTTAGCCAGACAGCAGTAGCTCATGCCTATAATCCTAGCTTCTTAGGAGGCTGTTCCTGAGAACTGCAGGTTCAAAGAAATATGATTAAGAGATTGTGTGGCTAAGAAAATATGATCATTTCTAGAGTCCCCTATTTAAAAAATCATACATTTCTATTCTGTGCAATATTTCCCAGATAATGCTAAAATCAGATTTTTTCGAATAAACTACTATTTTCATCCTACCTGGAACCCACAAGAGAACATTACATCTGACTTTTAATGTTTCAGTTAGAAGACCCTCCCAGAATAGCTGATGGCTTTTTGAATGACAATGCAAATTTACTCTGAACCTATTTAAAACATTAAAGCCTGATGAGGGTGCCTACATATCCAACACCTGACAATAATTTTCTTAAACATATCTTAACCTGTGAATCCCAAACTGTTGGTTATCAAAGTCACCTGGAGAACACCTACCCAAGCCCCAGCCTAATTCAAAAGTCTAGTCTTCTGGGTGTTTCATAGCTCCTCAGGAGATTCTGATACACACCAACAGTTGAGAATTGCAGATTTGCTCTTTAGGATATTTTCTAAAAAGAAACACCCTATAGCCCTGAGCTTTGACATAGTAATGGCAAACATTCTTGAGAATAACTATTGCCAACCCTATGAACATGGTGGTCACATGGGCTTCTCACTATTGACAGCACACCCAGTAGGTATATGCTAAAGGGCCTGGTGTAATGGGTGTCTCAATCTTCCTTGGGAATGGAATAGAAATTGCTTATCCCTACCATCCTCCTGTTATTGATAAGAATCAAGAATCCTTTTAAAACTGTTAAGATTTCCCATAACCCACTCAGGACTTTTCAGCCTCCATTTCCCAGCCTTGCTCCAACCAGTCCACTTGCCAGTTAAGCAAATGAATATCATTATTGTGAAGGTGGTTGCAGACAGTGATTATGGGCTTGTAAATGCCTCCTGTGAATGCAGCCCTTTTCCCAATCTATCTCAAGTGCTTAGAAAAGTGGAAGGCAATCTTATCCGTTCCCTCACCCCAAACAGAGTCTTATAAGAAGCCCCTTTTTGCTGGTCCAATGGACATGCCCAGAAAACCTTAACAGGCTGTGCTATAAGGCAGAGTGTTCATTGGGTCCGGTGCCTTTCACTTTTCATCAAAGCCCTGTTTCACTAGGGAGCAGAGACTGCCCAGTTTGGCTATATTTTTTCATTTCTGTTGGCACTAGGAAATTAGTACTAATTTTTTTTAGAATTTCTGCAGAGAGAAAAAAATTGAAAAAGTGTCAGGCTTTCTAAAATACCATGAGAACTTCAACATTTAAATTGAACTTTACAGGATACAATTTGCTGTTGATTTAGCTTCTGAAAATCTAGTAGGTACTGTTGAAATATGCACGGGTATTTTTTTTTAATTTCTGTAGAAATAAAATGTATCTCAGGCCCAGAATTAAGCCTTGCATTCAGTCACTTTTTATTTAGTTCATGAAAACCTTAAATTCTCATAATGCTTGAATGGGTTCTACTTGGATATGTTTGGTTTGAAATACAATGCAATCCACCAAGGCCTCCAACCATTGTTTTCTTTTCATGGAGGGTGCGAAAAAATGACTATAATTGCATTAGTGGCTGACTTGGTTGAACCATGGAACTGAGGCCGGATCTTTCTGGTTCACCATGCTGTCAATAATGTTCTATAAACACTGAGAAGTACCCATATTTATTTCACTTACCTAATAACAATGTCTCTTGGGGCCCTTGCCATACAGTGAATCCTCAGAACTCTTCTCTGGATAAGATCAACGGTTATATCCCCCAAGTAGCACAGTGTTGATTTTTGTAAAGGAGACTTTGCTTATGAGCCCATATTAAACTAGTTCCAGCTTTGCATTTCTATTTATGAAGAAATTTCTATTTAACAAAGAAAACATGTACTGATTAGCACATTGTTGTTGTTCAGTCTTCCCTAAAGTGGAAGTAGAAAGTACGTGGGCCTCAAGAGTAACGTAAAGACTCTGGAGTGGAACCATAACTTCCAAAAGTAACGGATGGTAGTTTACACCTTTAGAGAAAACATGCAAGCAACCTCAATTGAAAATGTCAGAGAGGGACCTTATATAAAGCTAAACTAGATGTAGTTTGTGTTCCTCATTTGATACTCCTTTTAAATGTCTGAAAATTCCCAGGTCAGGGTGGACTTAACTATAAGCATCGGGATATGGACATTCATAGCTTTTTGGTGATTTTAGCTGAAAGAAATCTACACTGATGATAGACTTTCAGTTATTGTATGGCCACTTGAACCAGGAGGACTCTATATAGTTTCCCAATTTTGACAGGCAGTTGCTAAGAACTTCAGGAAATAAGGATAGCCATATATTTCAATTTTTAATGTATATGCATGAGCATATATGCACATAAATTTTCTTTCTGATTATTCCCTGTAAAGACATAAACAAGTAAAATTTGCCACTAAGGAGATAGATAGAAAACATTTTTCATGTTCTTGATACTTTGCCCATTTTCTAGATGACAGACTTTCAAATTTCTATACACTGAATATAAAAAATATAATATACATAAAGAAGCTGCTGGTACCCAAGCCAAAGAGATTTGGGACTCATTCGTTCTATTATGCTTCTTAATTTACCATCCAGCTACAGTATTACCTGCTTTCCTTCATCTGATCTCACTGCCAGCTTGGAACTACATTGAAACCATTCACAAAACTCGTTTTTAAGATTTTGTTTCTTGAGTTTGGAGGAGAGGATGTTTGTTTGGTTTTGTCTATATTTTTTATTAGGGGATTTTGTAGAAGGTTGTGGGAACCAAGTTGTCACTTACTGTGTGGCCATGTGAGTGTATTCTACTTAAGTACCTGGGTGTCCTTCAGGTCAGCCTATGATAAAACCCAAGTCAAACAAGGCTGAATCCCAGATGTTTTACGTCCTAAGGATCTAACCTAAGGTCATGGCCAGCCTTGCCTCTCAAAGACCTCACATGGTCATCTAAGCAGTGACATAAACCAGTATCACCTTGCTCTTGGGCCATTGTTGCAGGCAGGGTATTGGTGAAATATAGCCATGGAGGACTAAAATCTTTCTGGAGACTGAAGGTAAAGGGAGTGTTTTGATGACTCCCAACACGCAGTTCATCTACTGTGAGTGACGGAGCCTGCATCTCATCACTGCTGTCAGAAAGAGGGCAGGGGAATGCTGTCAGCCCCAAAGGACCAAGCAACAGCCTGCCCTTCAGAACTCGGCATCTCTGCAAAACCTTGACAATGCCAACAGCTCATCACCTCATGTTTTTCAACCCATGCAGAAAATGGCCTTCCAGCCTGGGACAAACCGAAACACTGTCCAGACCGGGAAGAGGACTGGAAGCTAGTAGGAATGTCTGAAGCCTGCCTGCATAGGAAGAGCCATGCAGAGAGGCGCAGCACACTGAAGAATGAGCAATCCTCACCACACCTCATTCAGGCCGCTTGGACAAACTCCATCTTCCATCTGGACCATGACGATGTGAACGATCAGAGCGTCTCCAGCGCCCAGACCTTCCAAACAGAGGAGAAGAAATGTAAAGGTAACCAGATTTTTAAATTATCACCTGTTTGCACTAGGTGGAAAAAAAAATATCTCTGTGGTAACTGTGTACTCTGTTTCTTCAGTGTGTGGTATCCATGTGTTTTCTTCAACTGTTCTGTTAGGAGGTTTCTTTATCTTCAACTTTTCTCTTAAACATAAACAAGTAGGATCCAGAAGAGAGCAGTTAATTTTAGTTTCACATTGTGTTGGGACACTTGGAGCAAAAACATGGCTTATTTCTTTAATTAGCAGAAGGGCTGTTAGTTTTGGCTTTAATTCTATTTTTAGATCTGAGTAGAAACAGACATTGTTGTATATGCAGCTACTTGCTCAGAAGGGAGTGTGTAAATGTATTCACATGTTCCTTTTTAGGCTTGTGCCAGCAGCTAGACAGATTACCTACCTCTTACCTAAACAGAAAAATGGGTGCTCAGAAAAGAGGTTTTAAGTTGTTGTCTTTTACTCATTAAATCCGTGTGTCATTATACTGAATGGGAGAGATTATGGTGTTAAGAGGTTGTCACCTCAGAGGAAGAAAAAAGTTGAACTGGTCTAAATTCCTGGTTGTCTGAGATTTAGCAGTTCCTCACCTCGAGTGGCCCTCCACCCCAACAGATGTCCTGGTGCTGATCGCTTTATGGTTTTAGGGCTTCCCAAAAAAAATGTGTTTCCCAAATCAATTTGTGTCTTCAGCATCTAGATTCCTGTCACTTCCCCTCTTTTCTGATTTAGAGTATAAAAACTGATATATTTAGTTTTTGTTGAGTACTTCTACGTATGAGAGAGGTTAAGTTGTATACTTTAAAAATCATGTCATCATATACCTAAAATTCACCCAGTCATCTACCAATGTATAATAATGAAAATTTGTCAACTGCCAAGTGTGAGCTATGAAGAACTTTTTACCTTGAACATAAATGCAAAATTGTTTGTCATTCTTGCAAAAGGGTGGTCTTTGGTTTTTCTGAAAATACTTTAAAGCTCTTTGTAACTACCAGTTTACCTGGAAAATTAAGTGTACAGATGGTTTGAATTGAAAATAGGGTATCTGACTGTTATGGTTAATGAGAGCTCTGAGCAGTCAAAATTAGAGATGGTCCCCTTAGAAAGTTTTGTGTTTGAACCATCATATTTATTGTTAAGAGATTTGAAATTTTGAAAGGGATAATAAAAAGAGCAAAATAGTATCTCAAAGGAATCAAAGTGTAGGATTGGTTTCTGTGGGTGTGAGTATGCCTATCTTTGTTTGAAAAATCATTGAGAGTTAACACTAGTGAGCAAATTTTAACAGATCTTCAAGTTTTATAGGCAATATTAAAACCTTATCTGTCTTTGGTTCATAGTCAAATGCCAACAAGAAGCTCCAAATGCTCTTGTGATTTAAGAAGTACTCTCATGAATTAAGGTTGATTCACTCATAACTGATACCCACATTCATTCATAACATCTACTTCTCATTAACGAGAAGTACTGGCCTGGAGTTCCTAGAGTTTCCAACATTATACTTTCAGTTTGTTGGTGTGCCTTAAAAATGAGAGGAAGCTAGCATGGTTCCATACAAGGTAGTCCCAGCATTTAAGAGGCTAAAGTCAGAAGATTTCTAGTGCAAGGCCAACCCCGGTGACATAGCAAGATCTTGTCAAAAACTAAAGGGAGAGGGCCAAGAGGAAACAGTCTGAGTGCAAAACCTAAAAAGTATAGAATAGTAGCTAAGACCACATTTTTTTAAGATATTGGCATATTATGCATAGGATTTCCCTTTCTGTCCTTGAGCAAACTGGCAAGATAGTTGATAAAACGAAATCAAATACTGTATGTAAGCATTTGACATTGACATGTCCTCTAAATTTAGTGTCCTCTAAATACCAACTGGCATTTTCTATGATTACTGTTATTGGCTATGAATCCTTAAGTCACGTGTATCTTTCTGTCCACATGTGCCTGGCAAGAAATGGAGAAAGGGGAGTCTAGCAGATGAGTGCTGAGTCAGATATGCTGTTCCTAGGAAGTATGAGCATTCTTCCAGCTCTTTTTCAGTGAAGATGAGCAGTTCAAGTGCATGAGTCTAGTGGAATGGAAAAGATACTAAGATACATTTCCCTGTGATTTCCAGAGGTACCACCAGGGTTCACTTTAATCTGTTCATGAGACAGTGCACTTGTTGACCATGAAAATGCTACCAGGAGCCTATGTCACCATGGCATTTTACTCCCTCAGAAGGAACACCCTGTGTTTAGAGAGGCACTAATGAGACCAGGAAAATAAAGTGGGTAGTCTTGTCTTTCCTCTTTGGAATCCATCTACTCATCTGTTACATCTATTGTCACTCTGAGGACCATCGGATATGAGGAATTTGGAGCTCAAAGTGTGGTGGTCCAGCAAGTTGCACTAACAGTTCATTGCACAAATTGGGCAGTTAATGTATTTTGTTTGGATTCTGTAATGCAGACCTGTATGATGGCCTTCAAGCTCTTGGAAAGAGACGGGTTGGATGTCCTTTTGTCCTGATGCTTTTTCCTCATACTTGAACATCAAGAATAATATCCTGCACACAATAGGCACTCATATAAATACACTGATGGATAAATGCCTGAACCTGTAACCCAGATCTGAAATAGCAAGTCAGGAAATAAGTGCCCAGTATGAGTGGATATCAGACTGTGCTTGACAGCATTTCTAATGGTTAGAAATGAGAATCTGGCCAGATGCTGGTGGCTTGCGCTTGTAATCCTAGCTATTCAGGAAGTTGAGATCAAAGGATCACAGTTCAAAACCAACCTAGGTGAAAAGTCTTATGAAATTCTCAATTAACCAGCAAAAGACTGGAAGTGAAGACATGAGTCAAGTGGTAGAGCACTAGCTTTGAGGGAAGAAGCCAAGTGAGAGCAAGGGGCCTTGAGTTCAAGCCCAAGTACACACACGCACATGCACGTGCACACATGTGTATGCATACACACACAACGAGAGAGAGAGAGAGAGAGATGAGAGATGAGAGAGAGAGAATCTGAGCTGTAATTCCAGCTACTTAAAAGGCTGTAACAAGGAGGGATTATGAATTCAAGACAAATCCTGGGCAACACAGAGACCATGTCTAAAGAAGAGAGGGAGGGAGGAGGGAGGGAAGAAGGAAGGGAAGGGAAAGAAACAAGAATCTGAGGCCCCATCTAGACTACTGAATTGGAATCTGGGGAGAGGGGCCCAGGAATCTGCTCATCAGAAGGCAGTTGAGAATACTTTTAAACTCTCAGAATAGGAATTGGTCTGCCATCTAGTGGGTACTCAAGGATGTATAGTTTTCCTCCTTTCTGTGGCCCCAATCTGGGAGCCACTTGACTCTGAACTCTTACTTGGGCCTTAGTCAGGCCTGGCTAAAGATAGCTGTCAGCTGAACGTCTGCATGCGCTCTCCTGGCAGCACAGCCTCTTGGGTTTGAGTCCTTTTGGGAAGTCTACTCTGTTTACCTGGTACCTTGAGCCTCCTTTCACATCTACAAGGGCCGGTGTGGTCTCCTGGAGCAGAACCATCAGTCAGGCCTTCATACTTCATGTTTGCCTCTGGACACTTGGAGTTTCTTGAAACGCTGAACCCCAGCAAGACAAGAACACTGGGACACCCTCCTCCCAGGTTTTAGGGTAACTACAATCTGCTGAGATCACTGAAGCTTCTCTGTAGATCCCTGCTGTGCTTAACTTAAAAAAAAAATCTTATATACTTAGGAAGGCAAGTCATAATAATGTTTAAATTATTTTTCTCTCATTAAAAAACCCTTATGTTCTTTGAAAAAAATTAAAAATTCTCTTATTATTAAAGTTACAAATAACTTACTTGTTTCTTTTTAACTTTACTGAAAAGGTGATGGGCAGGGGGTTATAGTTGCATAAGTAAGGTAACGAGTACATTTGTTTTTAAACACTGTTACCCCATTCCCCATGTTCTCCCTATTCCGCTCCCCGCCAAGTGGTAAGGTTCATATCCAATACAGTGTCAAGCGAATATCAATGTTGCATTAGTTCATCCTACAAATAACTTTTAAAAGTCATTTGTAACCCATCTCCCAAGGACAAGCACTTTACAATGTTTATTTCCACCCTTCTTTCTGTGTATATTTTTACCAACTTGGGATCTTTTTAGGCATACCATCTTTTTATATTTTTGAATTAACACACTAAGCATACCATTTTTAGCCAGCTTTAAATGTTTAGTAATATATCATGAACATTTCCCCGTATCATTAAATATTCTTCCAAATCCTGACTTTTATTGCCTATAGATTATTCCTGCTTGTAGATGGGCCATAATTTATTAAACCAGTCTCCAAGACTTAGACAAGGTAAAGTAATTTTTGAAACAATATGTCAGCTACAGGGCAGACTATTAACTCCATGCTCTTCATAAAGAGAAGAAAATGAATCAAATTTATGATGACATCTTTAAATGATACACATTTCTTCATTTACCAAAATAACAAAGTGTTCTAAAAAAAAATGGATGCAAGTCACTGTGTGCATTATAATCCTTCAAGTTAGTTAGACATTCACATTTTCAGTGGGTGATCACTATCTTTGTCCTTAACTAAAACACAAGGACATGTTCAGGTAAATGAGTATTTTAGAAAGTAGTAGATTAAGACGCTTATGCCCTTCCACCAGTATGACCATTTGTTCTATCCATCTCTGCTCTCCACTCTGCCCTGCTCACCATGAATCAGTCTTCAGGCTCTCCTGAGAGACGGACAATTCATACACCTCACAGGCACTACAACGAGCGTTTGAGCCTCCCTTATCAACACAAGAATAAGGGACCTCTACCAGCCTCTGGCATATAAAAGATAGTTGGGTGATCTTACATTTCAAAGACAGGAAAGAATACCACATAAGTAGGCCAGGGAAGGAATCGTTTTTCTTTCCTTGCTTGTCCTTCTACCAGCATGGGGTGGGGTGAGGGAGAAATTGGAAACAAGACAATGTCAAAGAAAGGAAAATGACAAATTCAGGGTTC